TGAGGTGCATGGGTCACCTCTCAGCCCTTCCTCCCCCCACAGCCCACAGGGCTGGCAAGGCTGGCAGCGTGGGAGGGCATGGCTGTGGGCAGGTGGACATGGCAAGGCAGCGGACAGGGCACCGTGAGGCTGGCCCAGCTGCAAGCTGTGGCAGGTAGGTGGATGGGGTTGTGAGCAAGGTGGGTGAAACATGCACAAGTGGGCATGGCCATGTGATATCATGCTCTGGGCCTCTAGTCCTAGCTAATAAAAGAGTAATATGCAAATTGTCTCTCAATCCAACACACAAGATGGCTGCCCCCATGTGGTCAAAGATGACTGCCCCCATATGGACATAAGATGACCACCACAAAATGGCCAGCATGGAAGGGTAGTTGGAAGGGACCAGGCTTGTGGGGAAGGGCAGTTAGGGACAATCAGGCTGGCAGGAGAGCAGTTAGGCATCAATCAGACTGGTAGGGGAGTGGTTAGGGGGTGATCAGGCTGACAGGCAGGTGAGTAGTTGGGAGCCAGCAGTCCTGGATTGTGAGAGGGATCCCAGATTGGAGAGGGTGCAGGATGGGCTGGGGAACACACACACCCATGCACAAATTTTGTGCACCGGGCCTCTAGAAATTTAATAAGAGTAAAGAGCACACAAGGGATTCTCTGCCCCTGGAATCTGGCACTCCACCACTCAGTGCTGGCATAGTATACTCCAAACCTTTAACAAACACTCCTGTGACTAAGACTATTCCGGCCCCAGGAGTCATATCTTACACCTTTTACCCTATGTACATGTATTAGAAGGAAACTGCGAAGTTTTGTGTTGCTGTATCACTGCTGGTGAATGCTCAGAGCACAGGAAGGGTAGCAGTGGCAAAAGCACTTCAATAAGGAACAGATAATTATATCAACTTGTCAATTTTTTTCTAGTTTGAATGCAATAGGTTCTTACACAATCGCTATCATTCCTAATATTTCCAAGCATCCATTTTCCTGCTTTTCTTTTTTTTAAATATATATATTTTTATTGATTTTAGAGAGAAAGACAAAAGGAGAGAGAGATAGAAATATCAATGGTGAGAGAGAATCACTGATTGGCTGCTTCCTGCATGCCCCTTTCTGGGGATTGAGCTGCAACCCAGGCATGTGCCCTTGACCAGAATTGAACCTGGGACCTTTCAGTCTGCAGGCTGATGCTCTATCTACTGAGCCAATTCAGCTAGAGCTAACCAATAAATACATTTCAAAAAAAAAAAAAGAATGGTGGCAAATCACCAGAAGCATTTTCCTCATAACCCTCAGAGGACACCAACCATGTTAACATTTTGATCTTCCACTTCAAGCATCCAGATTGTGAGATAATAAATTTGTTTAAGCCATCCAGTTGTTGTAATTTATTATGGATGCCCTAGAAAACTAATATATTAAACAATTCGCACTACTCTTAAATTTGTACATATACAGGATAATGTGTAAAGCATGATACTGATTTTATGATGAAATCATACTTTGTAATATGTTCTGCAATAATGATTATCATATGACCCCATTACTCTATTTAAATATGAGTTACAAAGGTCTTAGTTCATTTGCTAAAATTCTTAGCATATTTAAGTACCACTTTAGGATTTTCATTGAGAATTATAACCGCTACTGGCTCAAGAAAGCATAGTTTCTCCAAATAATAATTAGTTTTAAAAAGTAAGAATTACAGTGACTCAAGAAAGTTTGTCTAATATGGCATTGTTGTCCAAAAAATACTCACTATGTAAAAATCTTGTGTAAAACAACATAGGTAGTCATTTTGCTGAAATGAATGCCATAAAAATTTTTTAAGGAACTCATATATAACAATCTATAAATTATATGTAATATCTCTGGCCCATTAACAGAACACCAAGACATGCATAATAATGATTAAAGTCGTCTTTTGAGAGTTCCTGGCTTTCCGTCAGATAAAAACCATAACTCTGCATGTATTTTTTATTCTGTCATTATGAAGGTATATTTGTCAGCGTGGGAGGATAGAACATATTTCATCTACCAGTTTGCCAGCGTGATTTATAACTTTTAAATATTTAGACGTGTGGTATGTGGGCCTCCTCTTGTACTCATGCCCCAGGCCCTGTATTGTTCGAGGTGGGCCAGGACGCAGCAATGACAGAAGAAAATAAAGCCTGAAGCTATGAACAGAAGCCAAACTACTAACGTCTCAAACTTGCTCCTACTACAAACTAGCATGTCATTCTTAGAAGCTTCATGTGAACACCTAACACAGTCCCTACAGGGAGTGACCAGGACCTCCCATGCTTTGCCTTCCTGGGCCATAGACCTGAGGGACAAGCCCTTCCCAGTTGGCGGTGGTAGAGCCAGCCCTGTGGCCTCCTATGGCACTTAGCTCTCACCACGTCTCATTCATCTAAATTTCACTCATCCAATGTTAGGATTGTGCCATGGGCTTGCATTTGATATTTTTATAGTAACTCTGCTGAGCCACCTTCAAGTAAATAGAGCAAGTTTATAAATGCACTTCACTCCTCTCTTGGAAAAAAGGACTGTGTAGTTTGACAAAAACTTTCAGAGCAATCCTAAATGTTGTGATATTCCCCGTGGCTGTCATTTTGTGATGTCCCATTGCCGTGAAGTCAGGCTGCTTGTTGGGGACTATGAGGACAGAAAAGGGAACTAGCATTTTACTTTGGAGTTAATCTTAGGAAGAGAGACAGGGTTAAGTAGTGGCAGCTGAGGGGGGAAAAAAGTAGGATACGTCATCCATTTCTAAGGAAAAGAGAAAAAGGATATAAAAAGGCCAACTGGCAATGCCCCAATGAAAATGAAGACTGAACTGCCAATCAATTTCCCATATCAAATGCATCTTACTGTAAGCTCTGTCCAAGCAAAAACGGCAACTATACATGTCATGCTCTCACTGACTGACATGATGGAAAAGTGGACAGCTAGTATAGAACAGTCTGACATCAGAGGAAACTTTTAGGTATGGGCAAGCATCTTTAAGGAACTTCAATACTCTCTCCGTAGACCTCAGTTCACAAAAGTAGTAGATAGTAGTCAGCCCCCCCTTAACTGCGATTTTGCTTTCTATGGTTTCAGTTACCGGTGGTCAACTTCGGCCCAAAAATATTAAATAGAAAATTCCAGAAATTAACAATTCCTAAGTTTTAAATTGCACGCCATTCCTCACCGCTATTCCTGCCCAGGATGTAAATAATCCTTTGTTCAGTATATCCATGTTGTATATGCTACCTGCCTGGCAGTCACTTCTTAACTCTCTCAGTAATCAGACCGACTGTCCTGGTATCACAGTGCTGGTGAACAAGTAACCCTTATTTTACTTTATAATGGCCCCAAAGTGCAAGAGTTGTGATGCTGGCAATTTGGAAATGCCAAAGAGAAGCCGTAAAGAAGATGTTTGTTTAGGGGAAAACAACAACAACATCATATCCAGGGTTTGGTACTATCTGTGGTTTCAGAGATCTGGTGAGGGGGTCTTGCAATGTATCCCCCAGAGATAAAAGGGAGCTTCTGTACTATCTTTGAGTAAAATTAAAAAACATGTGGGATAGACTGGGTTCATTAAGAAGGTGGCAGCAAAGTAAAACTTCCCAAAGAAAGGAACTTTCTGATGCAAATACAACAGGCAGAAAGTCAACAGCCCACTGCTTAGTAACACAGGCAGATTAGTGAAAACCACATTAATCAACCTGGGATACGGATTATCAACCATATTTGAAACACAGATTAACAGGAACAAATAAGGTACCCAGGCGGGAAGCATTTTTACAGCAAGTAACAAACGTAATCTCTGTTTAAATAAGACTTCAAACGGATTCCACATATCAATCATGAGATCATTAAAAAAAAAAAAAAGATTAACTTCAAGAAATGCAATGCAGAGTGACCAAACATCTGACCTATTTTAGATCAATCAAGGTTTTCTACCTGGGCAAGTAGAATGTAATTAGCACTCGGCTGATTTTAAAGATTTCTTTCACAGTTGCCTTTAACCAGCTGATGAAATAGCAGAACAGTGTGGCTGATGGCCAATGTTTATTTTTAGCCCCTACCTATTTTTATTAAAAATGGGATTGTGGGCCACTGGGCCCCCAGGCACACACAATTATATTAAAATATCCCACATTGTGATTAGTGGCACAGAGGGGATTAGAGCAAATAAAGTGGCTATGTTTGCCACGGGTATAGTCTAGGTCAGACATTTTGATGCCCTCGTGGCAGAACCTGTTGAGTTTTATTTCAGAAGTCTAAAAATATAAAAAAAACATTTTCTTGCAAAGCAAGAGTTTTAGTAAATGAGTCCCTTCCCCCTAAATAAAAATACACATAAAAAATACCCTAAGTTGACACTTTTGGAGTGAAAGAAGAGAATCCCTTGGCAAGAAAAAAAAAAAAGGACAAATGCATCAACAATAGTGTCAGTGAAAGAAATTGGATCTTTGGACCTCGTTAACAAGGGACTCAGAATAAATCAAACTTCATGTAACTGTCTACCCAGGCACAGGGCATTCTTCCCCTATGTGAGTAAGAACTTCAGCCTTTGAGTTCTTTAAAGGGAATAAAAAATAAATTGTTGACCTGTTAAATGCCCAAAGAACATGCTTACAGGAACCTAGAATAGGCCCTTTTACGCTAAAGGCCAGAGTATGAGTTCTTAAGACAGCACTATATCACTTATTGGCTTCATTTTACAAAACCCATTGTTGTAAATAATGCTAGATTAATTTCCAAATAGTAAATGTAAGTAGATTTTTGCTTTGATCATTCAGAATCAACACCACCAGGCCCGAGAGTACTGCCAATGCTAGACTCCTGTGAATCTTCATATCAGAGGAAAAGAGAAATGGAATGAGGGCAGGGCCAAACGGAATGAAATCTGGAAACACTGTGTCTTGGCCCAAGCAGTGGATAACACTGCCTTTGCCCTAGAAATCTGTGGAGAAACACTTAGCCCGAAGGAGGGAGGAGATAGAAGTACTTACGAGGATCCCGGACTTGCGGTGGGAGGGGGGCCTGAAGAAATGAAAGAAAAACAAAGGAAGCTGTCAGGCTGGGTTATTGGCCGGTGAGTTTGGGTACAGTCAAACCATTGCAGATTCAAGTTCTCAAACCTCCTGAAGTGGTCTTTATTTTTCTGGAATTTCTTATGTTGCTCCAGTTGTGCTCCCTTCCCCCAACCACCTCTACAAAATAGCATACCAGTGAGAACTTGTCTGTACCCCACAGTTGAGGGCAAGTGCTAAGACACGTGCTGAAAAATGAGCCGGTGAAGTAGGCGTCCTCGCAGGACGCAGGGGGTTTCCAGTGAGGCTGAGTGCTTGCACCCCGACGCTGATTGCAACCGGAAAGAGAAGATGGCCCCGGAAAGAGAAGAGCATGCGTGCTGCAAACCTGTCCACCTTCTCTCTCACTTGCACAGAGGAGGGGCTGTGGGCTCAGCCCGATCTGGGTTCTACTCCTACTCTGTGGGTTCCTTAGTTGGGCAACTCTGAGCACGGTAGGTAACTACTGGGCCTCCATGACTTATTTGTAAAATGGGTGGAATGGTGCCAGCATTAGGGTTGCTGGGCACACAGGACATTCTCAGTACGTGCTCCATCCCCACCTCTGTTGGCACCCCCCTGGAGGTTGAAGGCCAAAGGCCCTGTTAGGTAGAAAACTGCTTACCAAACTTGACAAACAAGACTCCGGTGGTGGAAACCACCTTCTTGCCATTGGTCGCCACGCACTGGAAGTAGCCCGTGTCGGTGGTGTCCAGGTTTCGGATTCGCAGCCGGGAGCCATAGTTAGTGGCCCGAAAGGAGATCCTGCGGGGCTCCTGGACCACAGGCGCGTCGTTTTTGAACCAGCGGATGGTGGGAGGCGGGTTCCCAGAGACTTTGCAGTGCAGCTCAGCCGTCTGCCCCAGCGACGTGGTGATGTTATTCATGGGTTCATCCAGGGTCAGGTAAGAATCTGGGAGCACAGGGGAAGGAGGCAGGTGAGAGGCGCTGGCATGGGGGGAGCACCTCCAAGTACCCCAAATCCACAGCACGGTGCCCCAGCACCACCGAGACTGAGCAGGAACGGTATGGCGGAGAACGCATCCCTTTACCGAGACCCCATGACCATTAGCAATCACTCATAAGGCCCGCTGCTTGGAAGGACACATGTTCCTAACCATGGTATAACCCCCAAAGTTTTCAAATGACTATACAGTACCCAAGGAGAAATGTACTTTCCAGGCAGGACAAAACGAGCTTTTGTGTTGAGAGCATTAAGCAACAAAACAAAACGAAACTCATGATCCTTGTTACAGACTCAAACAATACAGTGAGAAAGAAAAAGGAGTAAAATTCACCTAATATCTCCTCACCCCCCCAAAACACCATTCTTAACAGTGTGGTAAAGATCCTTCCAGCTTGTCCACTTTTGATAAGAAAGAAAGCATGAAAAACTGGAAAAACAGAAGCCACATTATTTATAATAAGTCACTTAATGTTGTGGGTAGGTTCTGCAACTTAAAGGGAGACAATGCATAACTAAACGAATTTTACCATAGGCTAATTGAGCTAAACAAGAGTTAACTTCCCAAGGCATCTTATCAACATATAAATGAAACAATGTTGAATGAAATGAAGTTATTAGAGGATCTGCGTATATTCACATAGAACAAGATCAGGAAGCTGTGAGACATCTTCCACCAGTCATGATATAAAGGTTGTGAACGCCGGGCTGCTGGCAGGCAAAGTGACCGAGGAATGGATATTTCCATAATGTTACTTACATCAACTATAACACATTACAATACCTAAATTACTATGCATTTAATTTTTAGTTGAGAAATATTGACATTCTAGGAAATATACAGATTTTAGTTATACAGTTCTCTGAGTACTGATAAATGCATATACTTATGTAACCAATGTCCCTATCAAAATGTAGAACAGCCCTGGCTGGTGTGGCTCAGTTGGTTGAGCATCATCTATTGCACTGAGAGGTCACCGGTTCGATTCCGGGTCAGGACATATGCCTGTAGGAAGCATGCAGGAATAAGCCAATCAATGTTTCTTGTTGATGTTTCTACCTCTCTCTCTCTCTAAAATCAATAAAAACATATTTGGAAAAGATAGAGAACATCCTCAACATCCCAGAAAGTACCCCAAGATCCTTTGTAGCTAATCCTTGCTCCCACCCACTCTCCTGCTCCAATTCCAGGCAACTACAGCTCTGATGTCATATCATCAAAGACTAATTTTGGCTGTTCAAAAATTTCAAATAAATGAAATCATAACATATGTACATTTGCATTGGATTCTCTTGAGTTTTACTACATTAAACATTTTAATAATAAGTTTTATTTAAGCTTATTCTTTAATAATATAACAATTTAAACATCATACTGATATTAATTGTGGAATCCAGTTGCTGAGAAATAACTTATTTTTAAAAAATTAAATTAAATTTTTAAAAATTGGTCTGTTTTTCATATATATGGATTTTCCTTTTATTTTGTTTTCTATCCTAGGGTAGGTCCAAACTGTACCTCCCATCATTCTTCTGTTCTTTCTTGATCCCTAAACTGGATGGCTTTTTAAGTGGCTGTCTGCTCTACAGGACGACATGCCCATAAGGGCAGGCATCTAGAATGTTTTGGTCATGACTGCAGGCTCAATCCCCAGTAGGGGGCATGTAGGAGGCAGCCAATCAATATTCTGCTCTCACATCAGTGTTTCTCTCTCCCTCTATCTTCCTCTCTCTCTCAAAATCAATAAAAATATTTTGAAAGAGAAAACCTAGATGACCTTGAATATGTTGATGACATTTTAGATATGACATCAAAGACATGAAAGAAATAATTGATATGACACCAAAAACATGAAAGAAATAATTGATAAGCTAAACTTCATTAAAAACATTTGCTCTTAAAAAGGCAAAGCCAAGAGAAGGCAAGCCACAGGCTTGGAGAAGATAGTTGTAAAAGACACATCTGATAAAGGAGTATTATCTAAGATATAGAAAGAACTCTTAAAAGTTTTTCTGATTTATAAGAAAAAAAAAAACAAACAGCAAACAAACAAACACACACACACCAAAAACTGAACAGACACTTCACAAAAAGAAGTTATAAAAATGGCAAATAAGTCCAGAAAAGATGTTCCACATTATATGTCATCAGGGAAATGCAAATTAAGACAACAATGAGATACCACCAGACACCGATTAGAATGGCCAAAATCCAGAACACTGACAACACTAAATGCTGATCAAGACATGGAGCAACAGAAACTCACTCTTTACTGGTGGGAACACAAAATGGCACAGCCACTGTGGAAGACAATTTGGAAGTTTCTTCCAAAACTGAACATACTCTTACCATTTGATCCAGAAATATTTCTTCTTGGTATTTACCCAAAGGAGTTGAAAACTATTTTCACATAAAACCCTACACATCGATCTTTGTAGCTTTATTCATTTAACTGCCAAAACCTGCATGCAACCAAGATGTCCTTCAATAGGTGAAAAGACAAACAATATTGTACATCCAGATAATAGAATATTATTCAGCAACTGAAAGGCAATGAGCTATTAAGCCATGAAAAAACATGAAGGAAACTTAAATGCATATTACTAAATGAAAGAAGCCAATCTGAGAGGCTACATATTGTATAATTTAAACTATATGACATTCTGTTAATGGCAAAATGATGAGGACAGTAAAAAGATCAGTGGTTTCCAGGGGGTGGGAGTAGAGGGTAAGAGGAATGGATAGTTGGAGCCCAGAGGATTTTTTAGGGCAGTGAAAATATTCTGTCTGGTACTATAATAGTAGGCACATATCATTATACACATATCATTCTATACAACACTAAGAGTGAGCAGTAATGGAAACTATGGTATTTGATGTGTCAATGTAGGTTCATCAGTTTCAACAGATGTACCGTTCTCGTAGGTGATGTTGATAATGGGGAAAGCTATGCATGTGTGGGGACAGGGAGTATACAGGAAATCTCTGTATCTTCCTTTCAATTTTGCTCTGAAACTAAAACTATTAGAAATGTCTATTTAAAAAAATAATTTAACTGCAGCATCCATGTTTTTGGACAGAAATTCTTAAACTTTTTAGTTTCAGGATGCCAATATTTCTTTAAATATTGAATACTTCAAAGAGATAAGTTTAAAATATTTATTTACTAATTTATTGAAAAGTTAAAAGTAAGCTCATTATTTATTAACATAAATATATTTTAATAAAAAATACAATTGTAAGAAGAGTGGCATTGTTTTATATTGTTGTAAATCTATTATTGGGCTTAAAAGCAGACAGTTGGAGTCTCTTCTTTCTGCATTCAGTCTGCCAAGATATGACATTTGGTTGAAGTATATGAAAGAAATCTGGCCTCTCAAAGTTGGAAAAGGGGAAAGGTCTTTGAATAGCCTTTTCAGATAACTTAAGATATCCTTTTTTGACACTATGCCAAAATTTGACAAATGGTAGCTTATTAAAGGTTAATTGCAATGTGAAATCTGAAGCCATAGCAAAGAACTTTTCGTAATCTGTTACACTTAAGTGAATTGGCTTATCCTGCTCTTTAAAGATCTTTTACCCACCTATGATTTTGGAACACTATGCATTGCCTATTTAGAAAACATTGGCTCAATGAGATATATAGATCTTCCAAATATGGACACACGTGATCATGCAATATAGAAAAACTGTATTCAATAGAATCACCAGCAAGCTCTTCAGTAAACATTGGCAAACTGTCAAGCTCATGGTGGTTGGCAATTAACTTCATTTCCTGTTTACTTAATATGACAGATTTATTTTTTTCATTTTCAAGAATATTCAAGAATAATGTCAATCATTTAAGTAAAAAAATGAGCAGTTCATCTTACAACTCAGATGCTTTTCTTTGTGACAACTATAGTATAATACTTCCACAGTGAGTGGGAGTGCTTATGTACACCTTCCATTTCAACACGGGGAATATTAAAAACATGAACTGAACGATCAAGATGTAATTGAGTTAGTAATTTTTACTATTTCATTAAAGACCATCTTAAGTACAGTTGACTTTAAAAAAATGAAGTGCATGATGGTGGAGAATACGACTTCTAGCATAATTTCTTAGCTTGTTACCACTATCTTGATTTGTGCTAAGACACCAGCATCTTTATCTACCATTACTAGCTCTATGCACAAATCTGTGCACCAGTAGCTCTCTGAGTGGCCTGGCCCCTCCATGCCCACAGCCCAGAGGCTCTCCACAACGCAAGTATTCTGTATCCTGGCCTGACCAGAGGCCCATCTGCAGCTGGGTATGGAATGCTTGCCTTGTCACCATGGTGATGAAGCAAGCATTCCACCAGGCTCCTCATGCCCGCTCTCAATGGCGGCTCCCCTGGGACTAGGGTACTTCAGCGGGGCTGAAAGGACTGAGCGCCGCCATCTTGTGGCTATGGGCACTGCCATCTTTGGGATGGAGTGATGGTTAATTTTGATATTACCCTTTTATTAGATAGGATTGCTTTTGCACAATTGGGATGAGTAAACTACGGTTCAGAGGACCTATCCCTGACCTATCTCACTAGGAGAAGGCAAAGCCATGATTTGGACTCCAAGCTCAGTGCTCTTTCCATCACACTTCACAGCTGCCCTTTTATTGTGTATGTAATAGGTTCAATTCCAAATCCACTTGTTTGTGACTTAAGTAGCATTGTTTTAATTCAAGTTGTTTATAACAAAGAGAAAAAAGTTGCTTTGATAGAAGGATGAAGTAAGTGGTATCAGTATGTCAGCATCCCACATTGCTTTGATATAAGAATGAAGGAAGTCATGCCAGGATGTCATCATTCTACATCTGTTGTCCTTGATAAGCAGTCAGCAGCAGAGCTGTGGAGGGGCCCCTGGGGGAGCATGGGAAGGACATGTGAAGAAGCAACAAGGGCAAGGGGACATTTAGACTATAAAT